TATGTTTCTTGACTGTTGGGAAATTACAGAAAAAATATCTGTATATATCACTGCCAGGAAATCAAGTATCTGTTGAGGGGAAATGGGTATGTACACATTTTCTAATTCCTGAAGAAAACTGTGCTACTGCTTTATAATCAAATTTATACAGCATTTTGTGAATGACCTCATTTAGAACCACTTACAGGTACATACCCCATAAATATTTTAATAAGTTGCACAGTCATTTGTTTTAGCATTAATATTTTAACACTACAGATGCTCTATTGCCAAACATAATTTTGAATCCCAACCAGTGACTTCATTAAAGAAGCATTCCTTACTTTCTGCTAAAGTGCTTCTATAAAGTTGTACTAAAGCACTAGCAAATTAAGTGTTCCTAAATACCACTTTCCTCGTGTGCTCCTTTGCCCAGGAACCTTCTGGGACTTCAGGGTCAAACATGAAGTTCAACCTTATCAAACTGCCTTTTTTTGTGGGTCAGAAAAGACACAATGTTTGCAGTTTCACAGACTTCCACTTGGCACCACCTCTGACAGCTCCCGAATCTGACCTGTGGGCCTGGCTTCCCCAGCTCCGTTCACAGTTGCCATTTGGCATTGGTGATGAATCTGGTATTGGTGATGAATCTGGTTAATGTCGGTTTCCCTAGGAGACTGCAAGTTCCCTGAGGGCAGGGACCATGTCGCCTTCCTCGCAGCACTGACTCCTCCAGGCACATCTGAGGTTCAGGCATGTGGTCAGAAACTCAGCACACAATAAATGGCAGAATGAATGGAAGAATTTAATTTTCAAAGGCACGTTCTCAGAAAGAAGGAAGAGTATGTGTAAGGGCCTTGGAGCCATGAATGAGCAAGAATAGGTTACAGAATAGCAGGAAGACCACTGTAGCTGGGTTTCCTAGCATCCATGGAGCTGGAGAGGGAACCATGTAACAAACCACACATAATCAAACACAACTATAAAAAGTTCAAGCGCATGTTAAGAAATAAACAGTTATGTGCAAGCATGTATTTTCAAAACCGTAACCTCAGGCATTTGGGGATGGTCAGGGTCCATTTTCTCTGCCGGGGCTCTTTAAGTTTCTAAAAAGGATATAGAAAATTCTTCACCTACAGAAAGTATTCAGTGAAATGAGGCCAACTGCACCATTTTGTAGATTTAAAAGCCAACATCTGTGGCTCACCCGAATAGCAACCGAATGACATCATGATAAAGACCTGCTCAGCGCAATCTTCCACTGTTAAAGTTTATTCATCAGGAATATTTAAAGGGGGAGGGACCAAGTGGACATAAGTACTTGTAATCTAAAGAGGCCCACTTAAACAGTGAAATACTGTGAATTAGCTTCTCCCCCAAAATGATAGAGAAAGCCAAGATTCAACTAAAAACAGTTTATTGGACTTTTTGACAGCTTGGAAGGTAAACATGCTATATGCAACCAGCTCTTTCACTGAATGCACGTTTGTATGAAGATGAAAAACTAGGCGACACAAGGACTAAATGCACAAACAGCTGGTTTAGATTAACTGTGTTTGTGAGAGACATAGGTCAATTTTTCAAGTTCCATCTGCTATAATAATCTTTGATATAAAGAAGAGCCTCCTAAGTAACTTAAAAAAACATTCAGGTTTGCTTACCAAGTTTGGGCCTTTTTCTTTTGAGACTCTGCCCCCTACAGGAGATGGAGTATGCCTATCTGAGATAGGAAACCAGTATTCTGGGCACAGGTATTTAGCGAAAATGCAAAGCCACCCATAACCCACGTGTACCACACAGCAACTGAGCGTAGCTGTTTCTGATGGAAGAGGGGCCATGAAGTGAAATTAAACATTTCACTTGAGAATCAGCCACACTGTACTGACTTCTCCCCTCGCCAAATGAGAAACCTACTTGTGCCCTGTTAGTACTCCAAACCAAAAGCAAGAAGGTAAAAGCTGAGCAGGCAAACAAGGACTAAATGCACAAACAGCTGGTTTAGATTAACTGTGTTTGTGAGAGACATAGGTCAATTTTTCAAGTTCCATCTGCTATAATAATCTTTGATATAAAGAAGAGCCTCCTAAGTAACTTAAAAAAACATTCAGGTTTGCTTACCAAGTTTGGGCCTTTTTCTTTTGAGACTCTGCCCCCTACAGGAGATGGAGTATGCCTATCTGAGATAGGAAACCAGTATTCTGGGCACAGGTATTTAGCGAAAATGCAAAGCCACCCATAACCCACGTGTACCACACAGCAATTGAGCGTAGCTGTTTCTGATGGAAGAGGGGCCGTGAAGTGAAATTAAACATTTTACTTGAGAATCAGCCACACTGTACTGACTTCTCCCCTCGCCAAATGAGAAACCTACTTGTGCCCTGTTAGTACTCCAAACCAAAAGCAAGAAGGTAAAAGCTGAGCAGGCAAAGGATGCTTAGACTACCTTACCCTGTCTCCGGGGTCCCTGTTACCACCATCCACAGCCTATTCTCCAGACCGCCAATCAGTGGGCATGATTCACACAGCAAAGGGTGGCATCCTAAAACACGGACCCTAAAGCAGATGCTCTGGGGCTTTCCAAGTGGTGCTAGTGGTAAAGAACCCGCCTGCCACAGCAGGGCACATAAGAGGCTCCATCCCTGGGTTGGGGAGATCCCCTGGAGGAGGGTACGGCAACCCACTCCAGTATTCTTGCCTGGAGAATCCCATGGACAGAGGAGCCTGGCGGGCTACAGACCACACGGTCACAAAGAATTAGACATGACTAAAGCAGCCTAGCAGGCACACACGAAGAAGCTGCTCCAGGTCCTATCCCAGCCCATTACATCATCCTCTTCCTACTCTTTTCCACTTAGCTTCCTTCTCCCTGTCTCTTCCACTCACCTTTCTATGTCTTTTTCCTGTTCTCCTTTCTCCATCTGCCAGATGTGGTATACCTGCCCAACAGTAGCCTCCACCTGTACTTCTCCTTCCTCTGGGTATCAGAGATGCTACTCGGGCAGCGCAAGGTGTATGCAGGGCACACTCCATCAGGAAGCAAACTTAGGACAGGAAGACGAAGTAGAAGGCCACAAAGGGATCATTTTGTGTAACACCTGAGGCTTTTCTTCCCTCTTTTACTAGGAAGTTTCCGATTCATACTCCGGTCTCCACCTTGAAAATGAAGCTGAGCTGTTCTTCCCGATTCCAATAACACAGCAGATTTGTTGCCCTCCTCAGCAGTCTAAAGCCACAGGCGTGCACCACAATTCCAGCGCATCCACAGAACAAGCACTCATAAATTATTATTGACTGGCTGAACTCTGAAATATAATATATGCACTAGTATATGAAGACACTGCAATGTTAATAATTTCTAAAAACTGTGCTAAAACCAGCATCTCCCTATCTCAAAAACCTTTTCCGAAAGTAGCTGGCTGACTTAATACAAGATCACACAAGCTTGCAGATGTGTGCACCTCACCTAGTCTGGCTTCTTTATTGGCTCTGAGTTGCTGGTCTCTCCCAGCCCACCCTGCAAGTGTCTGCTCCTAAACTACTGAGGCCCTCCAGACAAAGCATGGATGATTCACTTAATCCTCACTTTGAGTAAATTATTTTTCAATAGAAGAGGCAACCATCATAACTAAGCTAAATTCAAAGGTTCACTGTGCCACCACTTTTCTGAACGCAGGAAGAGGCATGAAATTGAAAATCTGCTCTTGACTGGTGGCAGGTCTCTTGTTCATTTTTAAACAACATACTTAAATCTGATCCACCTGAATTGAAATTTTCCAAATCAGGCTTCCAAGTAAGGCCACCTCCGTAGTAAATTTCTTGTGACAAATTGCATGGGGTTTGGTCAAAGGGAAAAGCTTGCCAGGTGGCACAGTTGGTAAAGAACCTGCCTGCCAATGCAGGAAACACAAGAGACATGGGTTTGATCCCTGGGTTGGTAAGATCCTCTGGAGTAGGAAATGGCAACCCACTCTAGTATTCTTGCCTAGAAAACCCCAAGGAGAGAGGAGCCTGGTGGGCTACGGTCCACGGGGTCGCAAAGAGTCAGACACGACTGAGCATACAAGCACGCACAGTGAAAGGGGAATAATTTGATTTCACTCCTAGTAGACACACAGACCTGGTTTAGTGAGGGGTGTGTGCTTTCCAGTTTCCTATTTGCGGGAAGGTGAGAGGAATGGTGAGTAGGGGAGAGAAGCAATAATAGGGATTTAAGGACTACCAGATGACTGGCCTTGGCCTGCACCTTAGTCTCACCCTCCACAGCAGTTCCGGCAGCCCTAGGAGTCCCAAGGATGAGGGCCTGGCCCATCGTGACTCAGAGGTCACCTGCTCATTCATCATCACCCTGCACTTGGCCACCTCCAGGGTCTCTATCAAGGCTGACTTTCTGGAGTCTACCTTAACAGAATCTGACAAGGTCATGATCAATGACAGTTACTGACTATGGATGTTTTCCTTACCTAAAGAATGCCAGCAGTCAGCTTTGGGCATGGATGTCTCTTAGAAGACATCCTACATTCCCAGTGACCTTGATTTAAGAAGGCAGAGGAAATGAAATCACAGCAGATGCAGGAAGTCTACACTCTAGCCTGCTGATGCTGCAGCCGAGTCATTTTGATTCAGTGGGTAGATCATAGCTGCTTCTACTTACTTCATCAGCATGGTATGAAGATGGAGAGGTGGTTTAACCCAGCAAACTCCTTAAAGGAGGGGCTTTCCTGGTGGCTCAGACGGTAAAGAATCTGTCTGCAACATGGGAGAGCCGGGTTCGATCCCTGGTCAGGAAGATTCCCTGGAGAAGGGAACGGCTACCCATTCCAGTATTCTAGCCTGAGAAATCCCATGGACAGAGGAGCCTGGAGGGCTACAGTCCATGGGGTCACAAAGCGTTGGACACGACTGAGTGAGATGCAAGAAGTATCGGGGACTAGCTTCTCAAAGGGATTTTTCAAGTGAATTCCACTTGTGGGATTCAGAATTTTGTTCTTTAATGAGTTTTAGGCTGAAATGTTGTTTCATACCTGCACATTTGAAACTTTGAGCGGTGAGCCCTCGTTCCAGGGACAAAGTCGTCAGGATGCTAAGGAAGCTAGTGGTCACCGACTGGCGTTTGCTCTTCCTGAGTTCGTGCCCTCCCATCTGATCCCTGGGTTTGGTCCTCAGCGTGACCTGCAGGTTCTGTTCTGAACTCCTTGCTGCGTTGGCAGCTGTTTTCAGGGCCTCCATCCACTCCTGAGCCCTCTGCCGCGTCTCAGCACGGAGGCGGAGGATGTCTTGGGGAAAGATGACTTGAAAGCAAGAGTCACAGTCGTCCAGGTGGTCCAGCTGGACAGCCAGACACACGTCCACATTGTAGCTCAGCAGGGGGTCCTCGTCCAGCTTGCCTGGCGGAAAGGCCATCAGACAGGTCCTGCTCAGCACAAACGTGAATGCCTTCCAGTTGTTCTGCATGGTCAGCCTGTACAGCGTCCCGGATTTGAGGATGTTTTGACACTGTTTGGGGCTATCCAGCACAGGGGATGGCATGAGCAGCTCGCGGGATTTCTTCTGGAAACAATGATTCTGTGGACAGTCGACGTGATGGCCAAGCCCCGGGGACTCGGCCAGCTCTCCCGGCCGGCCCATGTAGGCTGGTGCAGCGGCGTGCACACCTTCCCAGAGCTTCTGCCCCCAGTCCAAAGCCTCCCACGGCGACTCGGCCTTTAGCTGCAGTTGAGTGTTGTCATACAGGACGGTGTCCACCAGCCTGGCCTCGAGGTTGCCCAGAACGGATATGCTCTGGAAGTGGGACAGCTGGTACGTGGCGTAGAGGTTCTGATTCCCACTGCTGTCGAGAATGTAGAAGTATAAGCTGTAGGGGGAGAGCTCAGCATAACAGCTTTGCCAGTAACTGTCGTGGTCTTTCCGAACCTCCAGGTAACCCTTCTTCAGGATGTTCGGGAATGCCGGCTTGTGTTCTAGAAAGAAAGGAAAAAAAAAAAAAAGTAATGTATTAATCCATGAACATGAATGAACTGAATGAGATGACAAGGCGGTCGCCAGAAAACAAGCAGATCAGGGCCTAACCTGCTGGCTCCAACCAAACACAATATTAAACAGAGGTAGTAAAAATTCCAAGAGAGTGTCTAACCAACAAGATGTAATTGAGGGAAACCCTCACATCTGAAGAACTTAACTAGGGTGGAATTCTGACTGCAAAAGTAAGTACTGGGCAGCTGAGGGTTTGCTGTCAATGAGACAGATAGAAGCCCATTCGGAAAACAAAAACATTGGAATGACTGGGGTTATGCTCCGTGGGCCCGTGAAACAACCACTTTTTGCCAGAATTTCTGGTTTTCTAGGTAACGTTCTTTTGTTGTTGGTTAGTCACTCAGTCATGTCCGACTCTTTGCGACCTCTATGGACTGTAGCCCACCAGGCTCCCTCCTCTGTCCATGGGATTTCTACGGCAAGAATACTGGAGTGGGTTGCCATTTCCTTCTCCAGGGGATCCTCCTGACCCAGGGATCGAACCCTCGTCTCCTGCATTGGCAGGCAGATACATCACCACTGAGCCACCAGGGAAGCCCAGTGTTCTACAAAGCACCAGATATGAGAGAAAGAATGCTCCTCCTGCCACCTGACCTGACTCCCTGCCAATACTCATCTTTCCTTAGGTTGGTAAAGACAGGAAGGGCCAGCGGAAAGAACAGAGCGTGATGTGTGCTGCTCACAAGCTCCTGTTTCCCAGACACACCCATCAGTCTTCAAGGCCAGGCCAGGGGCCTTCTGCTTCATAACCAGCTCTCCAGACATGACTCAACTAGCTTACTTCTCAGGTGTCTGCTGGGATAGCCGTTCTCTCCCCTCTCTGAATCTGCTTATGCTATTCGCTTCACTTGCAGTGCCCCTTCCGCCACTTCCACCAGCTACCACACACTTACCCTTCACTCAAGGCTCCTCTCTTCTAGAAGGAGTCTGCCCTGACTCCCCCAACCCCACACCCTAGTCTGCCCACACACACCTCTGGGTCAGTAGCAGGGATCCTTACTATTATTCTCTTCTAATGGGCTCTTCTCAGGCTGTATTATAATAACTTATTTAGATATCTGAACAAATAAAATAAATGCTGATGTTTTTAAAGAAGTGTGTCTGCTCTACTGGACTATAAGCTCCACGGAGGACAGGGGCGAGGTCTGTCCTGACATCCTTATATCACAGTACATAGTGCAACGTCTGGTACATAGTGGGTACTTAGTAAAATCAGAATAGAAATAAAGCTTCTAGAACATAAAGCTTCTAGCATAATGCCCAGCATATAGTAGGGGTAACTCCCTTCCCTTCTCTTCCCCTCTTCCCCACAAGTTCATCTGGTCATGCCATCTTAAATTAATGATTAGCTGCCATAGATACAGATGTCATACTTTAATAAAAGGGGACTGTCACTTGGGAGATGTCCTGATACTTTCATCGGGCGTGAAAATGAGGTAGCTCTCCTCCCTAGTAAAGTTTTTCATTTCTGAGATGTTTCTCAACCTTTTTGCTGACACATCCGAGACAGTCATAAACTAATTGAGTCACTCCCTAAAGAAGACAAATCACATTCCCAAAGGGGTAGGATTTCTGATCTTGGATGGAGAAAAAAATAAAAAAGAGTAACACAGATCTAGATCTTAAAATAGCAAACCAAAAGAGAAAAGGAGAGAAATGCAGCAGAGAAAAGCTAATTTCACCTACTTTACATCTCTGGTGCTGACATTCATTAGTATTTCTGTGCTAATTCAAAAGCCATTAATTTCTTGCAACCTGCACTAATCCCTTTGTAGAGAGAGATAATGGAAGACTATTCTCAGGTTATCTATCTTCTCTGATAATGCAATAAGAGAGGCAGTGCTGTTAGACACACTGCTGTGGCCTCCTCCCTCTCATTTCCATCAGGCGCCTATTCAACCTTTTCCATAACAAGACCCATAACTACGCATCCCTCCATCCCCAGCCCTCCTGAGACCCAACAGCTCAGCTACGCATTCCTGAGCAAAAGAAAAACCATCTCTCTTGCTTTTAGCTAGGAAATTTCCTCTCCTTTTCTCTCCTCCCTGAGAGCATTTTATAACAGCTACCACAAATTAGAAATTCTAACTTTAACTGGACCCAAACCAGAAGCACACCTCGCTCCTTTCTGATTGTACAAGCTAGAGGGTGTGTGTGTGTGTGTGCGCTCAGTCACTCAGTTGTGTCTGATTCTTTGCGACCTCATGAACTGTAGCCCGTCAGGCTCCTCTGTCCATGGGATTCTCCAGGCAAGAATACTGGAGCAGGCTGCCGTTTTCTCCTCCAGGGGATGTTCCTGACCCAGGGATTGAACCCATGTCTCCTGCACTGGCAGGCGGGTTCTTTACCACTGAGCCACCTAGGAAGCCTTTATAAGCTAGGAGAACAGAGGCCAGCTTGGGTGGACTGAATGGAAGTCTAGTAGGGAGTCTCAAAAGTTCCCCGACCTTCTTGCTTCAGAATAAGGTCAAGAATGCAGAGTGTTTCAATATTTTCTTCCTACCTCAGCTCAGCCCTCTCTAAATAGGTATGTTAACAAAAACCACTACAATATTGTAAAGTAATTAGCCTCCAACTAATAAAAAATAAATAGGTATGTTAAACTGAGAAAGAGAAGAGGGGGGTTAATCATAGGAAATGACCCATCCTTACAGACCGCAGTTTGAAGTGTAATTTCTTGAAAAAGAAGAGAACAGATGTGATCAGAAAACTATTCTCCGAGTGTATTCCCTTTTGGAGGGCCTGTTTATATCAAACCTTATCAGTATGTTGTGTGTGAAGTATGAATTATCGCTGACTGTGGAGGGCTGGAGAACTACCATTTCTCTTTAATCTCTTGCTGTTACTTTCTACTGAATCTGAAGTTTATCTTGAATATTTTTGCTATTGACAAATCAGAAGTTATACACTTAAATCCAAGCTTTCATTAATTTACCATAGGTCAATTTTTATTTCTCCAGACCATATCATTTCATCATCTACATTTTTCTAAAGTGTTCCATTTCACAAATGAACAATATTATCTCTGTCTTAACTAATATCATAAATGATTCAGGTAGAACCTCTGATAAAGATTATCACCATTTCCCCAGTGAAAACAGAAAGGTGATCAAAATGAATCACTGCATCTTTAAATTTCATACTGAAACTAGAAGAGACTAATTCTCTTGTGAAAAAGAGCAAGAAACAAGACAAAAACATAAACAAAAAGAACCTGAGAATTCTGTTTCCCCACTGCTTTCCACTGTGGCCAGTCATGAAGACCTGGCTCAGCCTCTCCTGAACAAAGACCCCTTTTTGCTCTCCTTGTTCCATACTACTCAGAGCAGTGGCTTAAGGACGAAAATTGCCACTGACTGAAGAGGAAAAGGGGATTTCCCCATCTTATGCACCTGATTCATCTCTGTACTGCCAACCCACCAAAGAGTTCCTCTTTGGCCATTATTTCCTCTCTCTGTTCTCCAAAAAAAAGTTTCCACTCTCATAGCCACCGTCTTAATCAAGATCTTAAATGGGCTCCCATGGTAAGTCCTGCTCCCCACCCACCATGTCCCACTCAGTTACCAGGGTAACCTTTCTGGACCACTTACAACCTTTCTCATGCCTCCTCATCAGTCCAAAACCCTGCACAAGTTTCCTAGTCCTACATAATAAAGTTCAAACTCCTTAGGTTGACCTTACGTTTTCCTATGGACCTAACCCTCAGTCTGAAAAAATTACCAAGCTTCTACACTATTGGTGGGAATGCAAACTAGTACAGCCACTATTGAGAACAGTGCGGAGATTCCTTAAAAAACTGGAAATAGATCTGCCATACGACCCAGCAATCCCACTGCTGGGCATACACATCGAGGAAACCAGAATTGAAAGAGACACATGTATCTCAATGTTCATCACAGCACTGTTTACAATAGCTAGGGCATGGAAGCAACCTAGATGTCCATCAGCAGATGAATAAATAAGAAAGTTGTGGTACATGTACAAAATGGAATATTACTCAGCTATTAAAAAGAATGCATTTGAATCAGTTTTAATGAGGTAGATGAAACTGGAGCCTATTACACAGAGTGAAGTAAGTCAGAAAGAAAAACACCAATACAGTATATTAATGCATATATATGGAATTTAGAAAGATGGTAACGACTACTCTATATGTGAGACAGCAAAAGAGACACAGATATGAAGAACAGACTTTTGGACTCTGTGGGAGAAGGTGAGGGTGGGATGATTTGAGAAACTAGCATTGAAACGTATATTACCATATGTGAAACAGAGTCCAAGTTCGATGCATGAAACAGGGCACTCAAAGCTGACGCACTGGGACAACCCAGAGGGATGGGAGGGGGAGGGCGATGGGAGGGGGGCTCTGGATGGCAACACCGGTACTCCCGTGGCTGATTCATTTCGATGTATGGCAGAAACCACCACAGTACTGTAAAGTAATTAGCCTCCAATTTAAATAAATAAATAAAATTTTAAAAATCACCGGGTTTCTGCTAATGTCTCCTCTCTAACTCATGCTTTGTATGTGTGTGTTTGCTGGAATATTTGAGAGCAAATTGCAAACATTTCATCATTTCTAATGTCAATACTTCAGGCTATACCTCCAATCTAAAAGATAAGAGCTTTACAATATATGTCATACCATTTTCATGCCCCAAACATGAAGGGTCTCCTGCATTGCAGGTAGATTCTTCACCAACTGAGCTATCAAGGAAGTCCCTCCCAACATCAGGGTCTTTTCTAATGAGAATTCTTTGCATCAGGTGGCCAAGGTATGGGAACTTCAGTCTCAGTCTCAGTCCCTCCAATGAATATTCAGGGTTGATTTCCTTTAAGATTGATTGGTATGATCTCCTTGTGGTCCAAGAGACTCTCAAGAGTCTTCTCCAACACCATAGTTCAAAAGCATCAACTCTTTGGAGCA